AAAATGCCTCTGGCGAAGTTATATTCTATTCTATATCTCCCTATCAAAAGTTATTCAAAAAATGCCCACTGGCACTGTATTTTGGAATGGATAGTAATTCTTGAGAGAACTAGCTTTATCAAAATTAAAAACACATCATGATTGGACTTAATAATCAATTGAAAAATACCAAAACTTTTAATCAGTATACGAAGATTCATCTTCTTTTTCTCTCCTCACTTCAAAATTATATCTGAACAATGTATGACCATCTTACCACTGTTTTTCCCTTTGTATCAACAAAGTCAATTTCAACAGTACCACCATTGACCAACTTAGACACGTCTAATTTATAAAATCTGTATTGGCCTTGTTTAACAGTGCCATGAAATTTCTTTTTTGTCGAGACAAATGCTGGTGTTAAACATAATTTACGTCGAATAAAATTGACTTTTTTCATTAATTCAGCATAATTTGTGATATGAAGATAATTTTCTGTGACTGGCGGCGATGCAATTGCTTGCAACTCTGTTGGATTTATTTTACCAATACCAACGGTAAATATTGTGACATATTCATCTTTCAATAACTGTGCACCTGGAATTGCTTTAATATTACCTGAATTACTTTCACCATCTGTGAATACAACTGCTACTCGTGAAACAGCTTGATTGAATGGACGACATTGAGTACTGCAAAGATCTTGTGCTTTAGCAAGTGCATCACCTGATGATAAAAGAAATAAATCAAAATAATATTTAAAAATTGCTTTTGAATATCTTTTACCTGTTGATGTACTATCTTTCATCTGATCTAACTTTTGAATTTCAGATTTAATATTATCTTTTGTTTGCGCCGAGTCGAGTGTAAATGTAGTTGAAACCTTCACGTCTTTTGAATAATTGATTAGTGTCACTAAAACTCGATTTTCCTCAATGTCCAAATTTTCAACAATACGACTCATTGCATCTTTTGCTTCTTGAAAATCAGTGTCTGACAAGCTACCGGATGAGTCAACAATAAGAAATAAATCAAGTACTTCAGAACATGGAAGGAGATCCAAATCTGATTGAGAATGGACTTGAGACCAAACAAATAGAAACACAAATATAAATTTGAACAACATTATTGTTCTAAATAAGATATCAAACGACGTTTGTTCTAATGAAAACTAAAATAAATGTTTCTTGTCAGCTTACCGTTTTATTTTTGTCAGGACGATTGAATAAGAAAATGATTTTTTTGAATGAGATATGCTTTGGGATGACAAGGATCAGTACTTATATACGATTTTCAACGCATGTGCGAGAGAGAGAATATTCTTTACAAAGATGCTTTGTTGTGTGTTGTGTATGTGCATGTCGTTGTGGGAAGACGTAATGTTAACGATCAAAGTGGACGAGAATATTATTTCTATGGCAAAACATTTTGAAAAACGTATATGTGATACTATTTTTGACGATACCCTAGTTTATGATAAAGTGAAAAGTATGTTTAGAAGAGAATTTTTTCTATCGAGAATGAGCTGTCGTAGTCGACGGAAACAGTCAGAAAAAGAAAAAGCTCAAACTTTGTCACGTGTTTTAAGCAACAATCATCATACGTGTATCGGATTTAGTGTAGAAATGTATGAAGCCATACGTTTACAAGAGTCTAATATATTTCAGTTTGAAGCTTGTTATTTCCCGCATTTTCTTGTATGAAAGCCATTCTGGATCTCCCCATATTTACAGTACTCTACTCCGTTTAGTATTCTGTCACAGGTTAAACCCACTGTATCCGTTCGGTCTTTTGCCAATAAGTCTAATAAACTTAACCTCATGAATGCCGTAAGGCATCTATAGATAACATGAAGGAAAGTTTTTTCAAACTTGCTGGGCTTGGTGTATTCACAGTGAGAATACACCAAGCCCAGCAAGTGTATTCTCATTGACAATAAACGAAAATATACCAGAATACGCAAACATATACATTTCTATAAAATGTGCTGAGCTTCCTGGGCTTGGTGTATTCTCATTGGCAATACGCAAATGTTGCATGGTGGCTCACTCTCATGCTTCACGCGCATATTTGCGTATTCTGGTGTATTCTCGAGGTGAATGCACCAAGCCTAGGAAGCCCAACAGATAGTCTCTTTTTGAGAATACACTGCGTACTGACATTCTGACATCTCTGAAAAAAACTGCCAAAGGAACATGTATGCCACGAAAACAACAGAACGCAACGAGAGATATTTAACCGTTTTTTTACATATGCATGGCTTTGGACGTGTAAGAGGAAAACCGCGGTATGCATTTGAAAAATATTAAGGCGATTAGTTTTTCGCTCGTCTTAACGACAAAATATCGCACCATACGTGAACAAAGAAAACAGAAAATAGACGAAATATTTGATATCACAATGGCGTCATCGTAAAGATGGTGGATGGATGATTTAAAAAAAGATTGTTCTTTCTCAATTAAAGTCGGGCACAAATAAAAGAAATTCCGGACACTTTTCTATTTCCAGACACAAAAGTGCGGAAACATTTAAATATGGCTGGTTCGGACACAAATCAAGCCTACCAGGCAGAAAAATGCTTAATTCCGGGCACCAAAAATAATTTTTCCATCAAAGCTATAAATAAGCTTTTCAAAAACATGCTCATATAGGACAATTGACGAAATATTCGACAGATATCATGATTTCACCTATCTTAAGGCTTTAAAAGAATATTTCTTCCACACATCCGCACAGACCCGGAATATTTTGTATATCAAACGATAGAGAATTTTATGGGCTTTAAAATGGACTACAATATTTTGTTTTAAAAGTTTGTCTTTAGATTTATTGGGTACATACTGAATAAATATCTCGATTTTTGCCCACATTGATATATAAAAATAATCACAGTTTCTTTCACAAACAGAAATTAAAAATAGTGTGTTTAGAAAAATGTAGAATTGAAAGAGCTACAAAATAAGCTATAGTACGTTGTTTCAAACTTTAACCTCTTGAATGCTGTTATTTTTCCTCTTACACGTCGAGAACCTAGAAAAGTGTTGAAACATAGGTAATGGAGTGTGCTGATTATCGTGGCAATGCTTGTTTTGGGTTAAAATGGAAGTCGAGGTCGGTGGGAGCTTATTTCCCAAAAACCGAGTTTTTGCTTATCGACCATAGAACTTCAAATTGGGGTGATTCAGTCATTTTACATTCAAACTGGCTCGAATTTTCAGGAAATACTCTAACCACGTTATTCAAACGGATTGAATCGTAGAAAGTTTATTTAATAAAGCTTTGAAGCCCGGGGATTTCGGGAAGCCCCCTAGAAAATCTCAAAACGTAAAACTCGAAGTTTGTAACTTTCTACGAGTTTGAATGTAAAATGACTGAATCACGTCAATTTGAAGTTCTATGGTCGATAAGCAAAAACTCGGTTTTATGTAAATAAGCCCCTACCGACCTCGACTTTCATTTTAACCCAAAACAAACATTGCCACGATAATCAGCACACTCGATTACCTATGTCTCAGCACTTTTTCAGGTTCTCCACCGCGTCCGGATAGATATAGGCATGTCCGCGGAAAACCTTTAGAACTTCTGAAGCTCGAGAGACAGCGAGCTGGGACTAGTCTAGACTTGTAGAACTTGAGTTGGGCGATCTTTTTGACGTCTAGGAATTTAAAATCCGAAAATTTTTTAGTGGCCGGAAAACTCGTACAAAATGTTCACGCAAGGTACACCATCTGAAAGTAGTCGAAAAAACTTTTTCGCTTATTTTCTTGTTGGTAAAACTCCGAGGTAAAAGTGTAATAAAAACGAAAGTTTGTGAAGATACTGTACAAGCATTATTAGAAAAAGGTTTTGTTCAACAATTGTTTTTTTAGGTTAATTTCGAATATTTTCCAGTTCTTGTTGGAGCTCCACAAGGATCTATATTGGCAGCTCTCCTCTTTCGTCTTCACATACACTTTGTACTTTCTTACTTCACTCAAATAGTTTCACATTTATTCACTGATGGTTTAACATTACTTTTATTTCCTGCTATCGAAAAACGTCTTTCGGTGAAAATACAAAATATTGACAAGACCAAGCACAACCTGTTTTAAAAGCTCTTGAGAAATTTTCAGAAAACAACACACTTCCTGAGAAGTTATTGAAATGTTATGAAATAGATGAATTTCATTTTGTCTGTTTCAAGAAGCCGCTTCATGCTGATTCGATCTTGTCAAACTCGGCAAAGTACCTATAGTTTGCTGCTTTTTTTTTTTAGTGTTGTTGGATGACATTAGCAAGCGTTTCCGTAGAATTCATGCAGTATAAATTCGATGGTTTCGTGAACTGGAACGTTAGTAAATAAACTGGCAATGTCCAACGAAATCATTCGATAGTTTGAAATATCGATCATTTGCGTATCGACCTGGACGAGAAAGACGCTGTAACCTACACCCCCACCCAGAATTCTGTATTCTTCTTTTCGAACTGACTCGGATCGAGGTTTTCGGTAGCTAGTTGTTAAAAACCTTGTTGATTGTTCCAGTACGCCATAGGAACACGCACGAAAAAAACGTATACAGAAGAACGCCATTGTCACCTAAGAAGTAATGCGCATAAACAATTTTTTTATTCAGTAAATTAAATTGTACAGAATCATTTTCACTACAACATAGAAAGGACAAGAAAGAGTACAAGGGAAAATCTGTCTGTCGTGAAGTTTTCTAACGTTTTTCTAGTTTAATCCAACATTCATCTGGTGTTATAACACGTTTTTCATTTATATTCCATTTTTCATCTAATTGATCACTTTTTACAATCGTATAATTCTTTAACAAACGTATTAATGTTAATTTAATTTCCAACAGTGCAAAACGCATACCAATACAATGACGTGGTCCTAAGCCAAATGCTAAGAATGATGGTGTATGTGGAGGTATTGACAGATGACGATCAGGATAGAAAATATACGGATCAACGGAGCCCCAGTAATCCGATGAATAATGAATCGAATAGATATCCGGTTGAACGATATCACCTAGAATGTAGAGTAATGAAGAGACATTTGGACCGAATTTAGAATCATTGTCAAAGTAAAGTGGGACAGTGTTTTTCTCAAAAGAAAAAGGTTTCAATTAATATTTTTATTATAACTTTGATAAATTTTAATTGTTCTGGTCTCGTGCGAATGCCTTTAAAAATTAAACAAATTCCTGAATTGCTCACTTTTTTAAAGTTAAAACTGAATTTTCAAATCTTCAGTTAAGTGAAAAATTATAGTTTTGAGCCCTCAACTCGTTTTCAAGCACTTCGAATGACTCAAGTTATTTGAAGCAAAATGTTTCTCATTTTTCATTTTCCCATACCTTTTTTAATCATATATTCTCGTCCATTACTATCCGTCACCGTTGTATCATGTTCACACTGTCGATTAATAACTTGTGGTGGTATTGGATACATTCGTAATACTTCACGTATAAAACGATCTAGATATTCAAATTTCCTTATTATACTATCATAATCAAGTCCATTTTCAACGAAATCAACATCATCAATTTCCATCTGTAATTTTAATTGTTCATCCATATGTGTTGCTAAGACATATGTTGAATATGCTAAAGCAGATGATGATGTTTCATAACCAGCAGCCATAAATAATGAGATATTGTTTAATATTTCACCGTATGACATTGAACCGGATTCCGAATCCTTTGAAAATGGAGAGAGAAGTTGTTGAATGACATGTGATTTAGGGAGAAGTTCTGATCGTTCCGGAATCTCTATAAGTTAACCAGCCGATTAGAATTGCGTTTAGGTCCAACTAAAAATGTATTTTGTTGGAAAAACTCTTGCCGCACCTCCAAAGGAAATGTGTTGAAGTCTCATATTAGAAATCCCCCTGTTTTTCCTAGTTTCTGCCAGTTCTTAACCTCCCAATCAAAAGATTTCAATAGACTGCCGAAAAATCTGCATCTGTCCAATTCAGAGAGCATCGGCCTTCGAGCTGATCGAGTTTATTGTTACAATCGGAGTCTTTTAGCAAAAAACACCAGCAGTTGACAGAGTCTAACACGATTACATTAGTTAATCAGCATTTTACCTGCGATTCTCACTCGATTACTAGTGTTCTGAAGGGGTTAGAACATTTATCGTCGCAACGACGATACGTTTGAATGTTTTTTAAGGTAAAAATCTTTTTTTCGATAAATTCCACTTTAGTTTCTTCATGGTCTGAATAGTCAAACACAAACCTTCTTCAATGCTCTCAATAATATATGTACAAAATCATTTCTTTTCATTCCATCAGAATCATCAATTTCAGCTCGATCAACAATTTCACTAACACGATCATTTAACCAAAATCGTGGTAATTCAACAAATTTCATTCTCCATTTCAATGGTAAAATTTCACATTCATTCAAATATCTTTTCAAACTATCTGCTAGACGAATAAATTTTTCAATCATACGTGACAACAATGACATTGAACCGAGTACAACTGTGAGTCTCAACCACCAACGTTGCGTTAAATCAGTTGAAAACAATTCTTTTGTTTTTTCAAAATAATCTTCATACGTCGTTTTTGATATGATGGTAGGTGATGATGATGTTGAAGATGACGATTGCTGTAAACCGAAACCACATGAGCAGATAACATCAAATGTAAGACGTTTGTAAAAAGCATAGACATTAAAGTCGATGTTCGTAGGTAGTTTAGAAAGAAATTGAGTGACACAGGAGTTCATTAATGGTAACATATCCTATACAAAGAAAAAAATTGATAAAAGACGAGCCCCAAGAATCCTTTCGTATTAGCTTTTCCTGTTGATAATTTATATAATATAAGAAATGACAACAAAGATAACATCAGTAACAACATTTCTACTACTATCGACGCCAAAATTCAATGCACTTGCTTGTTTTTGAAATAACTCAAAACTGATAAAAGATAGGGACTTGCGATTTTCAGCAATCAAAATAAGACAGTTTAACCTATGTTTTCGTAAGAAAAACCTGAATCTCGTTGCAATATTTGTTTTTCAGAGAACCGCTTACAACCTTGTGAAAACCTATATTACATGGAATCTCATTTTTGCCTATTTTCGAGTATAATTAAAAAATTCATAATCTAGTCAAGATCAATCCAAGGTATCTCAGAATATCAAGATGCACCTTGTTCTACCTGGCCAAGATGACTTTTTCCTTGAGAGTAGTAAAAAACATTCCTGTACTTCGGAAGATTTCTACGTTGATTGAAAAAGTTGAAAACCTTTTCAAAAACCGAGGTAGTTTCTGTTGACTTTTAAAGCTTTTATTGAACTGCATAGTATCAAGCAGGTAAAACAGAGGACATCTTGATATTCTGACATAACTTGGATTGATCTTGACTGGATTATGAATTTTTCTAATTATACTCGAAAATAGGCAAAAACGAGATATCCCATCTAATATAGGCTTTCACTAGGTTGTTGGAGCTTCTCGAAGGAGAAGAAAAAACAAATATTGCCACGAGATTCAGGATGGTTGATTACCTGTTTCCCTTAATTTCAGAATTACCACACCTAAAGAAATATTGATCGCCACGCCTAAATCGGGAAAAGAGTTCGCTTAGTTCACATTTTGGAGGGAACACTCTGGACTATCTATCTATGGAAAAAAACTGATAGATTGCTATCTCAGTTTTCGAAGCACATTTCCAAAGATCTCCCATAAAATTGATTTTCCGAATAGTTTCGTAAAAGGCTTTTGCTTACGAAAACATAGGTTAAACTGTCTTCTTTAGATTGTTGAAAATCGCAAGTCCCCATCGCCCCTTTAATGAGGCATGATTGTAGCCCGCACATTTCTGATTGAAGTGAGACCTCCAGTCATGAATAAAGTGAGATCTCCAAGCTCTACAGGGCCTTTCTTGGTAAAGTTATACCCAAGCAAAAGAAAAAATCGATAAGCTAGCTCGTTGTAACTTACAGTGACACTTCGAAGTGTGTGCAGCAAAATTGGAAGTTATTTCCCCTTTATGATTATTGCTCTATCACCAATCAAACTGTCTATACTCTGCAAGTTCTTCTCATGTGTCAAACAGACAGATATTACTTCAATATTTTCTTTCAAATAAACTCACCTTCAATTTCAAAGTTGAAAATGTTGGATTCATAATTTGTCGATGTCGTTTCCACGAATGTCCAACGGCTGTAATCAAATTTGGATTCTTTTCATTTGGATTATTAATCAATGCAACTGGTTTACGTGGTATAAACGATGAAAATTGTTTTATAAATACATTTTCAATAAATTTAATATCTGATACAACCCATACACGTGGTTGTCGAAAACCTTCGAATAATCCATAGACCGAACCAAATTCCTTTGTCCATTTTTCCAACTGACGACTGATACCGTTACCGGTGATTGTTGACTGCCATAAGGGAAGAAGATTACCGAAGATGAAGGACGGACGTGGCCCGGGAATTGATTGTACGACAAAATATCGATAGGTATTTCCAATTTTATAGGTAAGAAGTAGTACGAGTAAGAGGAGTGCGAGAATAATGGATAGGGTAATGGTGAGAAACATTTTTTTGAAATGAAATAAATGATTATCTTTTTAATATAAGTGATAAAAGCGAAGGATGATGACCTTTTATCCTTTATGTACAGTCAACAAATGAAAGAAAAAGAATGATAGTCATATGTGTGATGTTTCTTCATTTCTATTTGTTGTGAACGTACTGTTAGACACGACTGATTAGAAAAGAATAAAACTTAGTAGTTTGAATGAACAATAAAAATGAGAGAGTGAAATTATCATTGTTATTACGCCGCTCTGACACTATAGATATATAAACGAAAAATTACCGATGATTTCCTATACGTAATACCTCATTCTGTAGCCCCGTCAATACTGCACCTTTCTACATACATATTGAAAAGTGAACTATAGATAAATCATCCGTAATTTTTCGTTTATATATCTATAGTGTCAGAGCGGCGTAATAACAATGATAAT